TGAACTCAGGACCTTGTGCTTGCTAGGAAGGTACTGTATTACTTAAACCATACCTTCAAAGCCTCCCCTCGCCTTTTTTTTTTTTTTTTTTTGGCTGATTACTTGAAGATGAAATCTCTGACTTTTTGGCTCAGGCTGGCTTTGAACTATGATCCTCTGGTTCTCACTCTCCTGAATGGCTGGTATTACAGGCATGAACCATTGGCACCCAGCCAAACCTATCTTTTGTATTATTTGCATGGAATTTTTTTTTCATCTTTAAAAACTTTCAGGATTGATGGGGTAGAGCACTTGCCTAATATGTGCAAGGCCTTAGGTTCTGTTTTCATCTCCAGCACCTAAACAAAGCCAAACATTTCCCCAAATATTTGTATGCCTCACTCTTCCATGTGGTTCCCTATAGTTTCTTGCTTCCATTTATAAGCAATGAGTACTGCAGTGAACATGCCTATACAAAAATGTTGTCTCTTCTGCTGCTTTAATATAATGAAAATAGGTTTTGATTTATACCCAGGCTTTAGCTAAAGCATGCTTTCTCTCTCTTTCTCTCTCTCTCTCTGTTTAACTTAAATAGTTTGGCAGACTTAAAGTGTTGTTCTGTATTGCTGCTTGGTAGCTGTGTGACTTTGGGAAGATCACTTAGCCTTTCTGGTCCTCCAGTTCCTTATTGGTAAAATAGAATGATTAAGGGTGTTGCTGTGGATTCGAAAAGATGATCCAGCCTTGTGCCTGACCCAAACTAGAGGCTGCAGAAATGCGTTCCCATTGCCCCGTGTCTGCACTGATTGCTTCAAAAACGATGGTGGAAAAGACAGACTAGCTCGACTTCTGCAGGTTGACATATCTCTTAGATCTGTGAACGTCGCACAGCCCAGCTTGGCACACATGCAGATTTTTGTGAACTGTCTCATTCTTCGTGCTAGTGAGATCAGCACTTTGACATTTTGCAGAGGTTATTGGAGATGGTTGGTGCTGATGGTGCTTTGTACATGCAAGGTGTGTCCGGAGGGCCAGGTCCGTGCACAGGGTCCCGTGATGGGAGACGGGCTTCAGCTCATGCTGGTGACGTGGTGCACAGCTGACGAGACCCAGGAGGGGAGCTGTGCCACCGTCCTCCAGTCAGGTGATGCCAGATTGCACCTGAAGGAACGAACTTTGGGTCAGAGGCCACAGACCTCAGTTAGAACCTTCCCGTCTCTGTGGCCACTGAGAGGCGCACAGAGGAGAGGACAGAGAGCTGGCCATGGCCCAGCCCTTCCCAGTGCCGTTCTAAATCCCACCAAAGGGCAGAGGGGCCTGTCCAGTCACACAGCAGGAAGGTGATGGAGGCCAGCAGGGAAGCAAGCAAAAAGAGCGAAGCTCCTTCCTGCCTCTGGAGGTGGGGGGAGGAGCGGGCATGCCTCCTCCTCCCCTGTGGGGCCCAAGCTCGTCCAGCTTTAATTCCGGTGGTTGTGCGGAGGGCCAGGAGGAGCGGAGATGATTTCCATGGTGGTTTGGATTTGCATTTTTATATATTACAGGACTCTGCTGATTTATCATTGTTAGCCACTCTGATTATATTGGGGGATCTTAGAGGCGCTTTGTAGAATGTGATCTATTTCACATTCAAAGACCAGGGATTTATGGATCCAAGTGCCAGAGCAAGGGTTTTAGTTCAGTTTGGGAAGAATTATTCCTGATGGATTTTATGAAATGTAATTGAGAGTTGATTTGGTGTGTGGAGCGAGGGGTTGTTGGCATTATGCAGATGGCGGGCGGTTTATTCCAGGCACGAGGCTGGGCTGAGCCACTGGAAATGAGAGACGCAGCTGGGGAGGGAGGAGGTTTGGTTGTGGTGGTGGGCATTTGGTATTTGGGGAGTCACTGATTAACAGTGTATCAAGGGTAATTAGGTGAAGGTAGGGAGAAAATGGCCTGTGTGTGTGCGTGCGTGCGCGTGTGCATGCGTGCCTGTGCGCCACGCAGCGCTTACCCCATCCCATTTTCCTTTGACACAGAGTCTCACAGAGGGGAAGGCTTCAGCCCAGGGAACACAGCCCTGGACCCACGCACGCTCCTGTCTCTTCCCACCTTCCAGGGAAAGCTGTAAGCCATTTGACTGGCCTCAGAGGGGCCTTTGGCTTTGGCTGGTTCACAGCCAGGCCGAGGAGCCTCTGGGAAGAGCTGGGAGTGTTTGAGCTGGAACTTTCCCTCTGTGGGAGGTGAAGTGTTTTTGATACTCCTCTTCACTCATGTGAAAGCTGAGATGATTTTGAGGCCAAAAAATGAGATTTTTTTTTCCCCAGTCCCTGTTGCTTCTCAAGTTTGTTCTGTAACAGAAGAAACTCCGGGCTGGGGCGTGAGACGCGGCTGTGCTGCGTCGAAGTCGGCAGTACCTCTCTGTAGGACCATCACTCCCTTGAGCCGAGGGCCGGGCTGCCCTGCCCGCTCTCCCTGTAGATGCCAGCCAGCAGACAAGGGTGGCGAGAGGGTGCAGGCTCTGTCCTCAGGGAGTGGGCCTCTCCCTTCTCATCGCATGTCATTAAGGGGAGAATGGAGCAATTTCGAAAAATGCTTTTAATGTAATTGAAAAATGCAGATTGTAAAATTGGCACACTTAGGAGTTGAGACAGTCTAGTAATTTCTTGCTGCTTTGAAAACTTGGACACAGAAGACTGTTAAAAGTGCCTGTCTCACTATGGAGCCACGCAGACCTCATCCCTTCCTTTGTCAGAGTCCCAGAGAGGGGAAGGCTTCACCCCAGGGAACACGACGGCTACCCAGGAGGCTGAGAGCCAGAGGATCATGGTTTGAAAAACCTCTGAGACTTCATCTCCAAAATAACCATCAAAAAACAGGGCTGGAGGTATGGCCCAAGCACTAGAGCACTAGACTAGCGAGCAAGTTGATCAAGTAAAGCTGAGCAGGGGCGAGATGCTGTGGTCAAACCCCTGAGTACTGCCAAAAGAAAAAAAAAAGGCATCTGCCTAGTGCCCAATGACAGAAAGATCATTGGTCTTCTAAAAAAAATGCTCAAGGGGTAGAAAGCACAGAGCTGAGTATCCAAATCCCAGTAATGCCAATGAAATTGTTTTATATTTAATTCATTTCATTATAAAAGCAGTAAAAATTTTGGAGAGCTATGCAAGAAAATGGCAAAGGGCTGGGAGGTGGCTTAGTGGTAGAGTGCTTGCCTAGCATGCATGAAGCCCTGGGTTCCATTCCTCAGTACCACACACACAGAAAAAGCCTGAAATGGTGCTGTGGCTCTAAAGATAGAGTGAAAGCCTTGAGCAAATGAAGTTCAGCGACAGTGCCCAGGCCTTGAGTTCAAACCCCACAACTAGGAAAAAAAAAAAAAAAGAAAGAAAATGGCAGAAACAGACCTTCCCTAGGCCCTCCACGCAAGTGTGGTAGCTGTGAGCAGTTGGTGAGCAACACCTCCCTCCAGTTGCTTTTCACATCTGTCACCTCATCTGGCATTTTGGATTCTGTAGCCTAAATTAAAAAAAAATTGCTCGATGGTAGTAATGTTTTCCTGTAAATGATGACAGGCGAGTCATTCTACCCTTCACCCTGTCACCCGGCTTTTGCTCTTCTTTCTGTTGTCCCTTCTCCTTGATGGATGGACAGACAGCTCTAACGTGGCTGTCCTATATAGGGGGGCAAAGCAGTTCAGGGCTAGAACACTAGGTGTGGGAATTCTGGGAACAGCTATGGTTGGTAGCTCAGGTCCCAGGCCTGCCTCCACACAGCCTCCCCTCCAAAAAGCTTCCAGAAGGCTGTCCTTGACAGAGGACTTAACAGCATGCGCCTCCTACCTCCAGATAGAGCCCTGGGATACAGGCCCAGGTGCTGAGAACGTGAGAAGCCAGATCCAGGGGGCGCTAGCTCTGCTCTGTCTAGGCTAGAGCTCTCCCAGCCTGGCTTCCATGGCTGCCGCCCTCCTGAGCAACAAGAAGCACCCAGACCGAGCTGTGGCTGCAGTTGGCTGGCGTCTTTGATTTGGGATTCTAATTAGTGGATATTCTCCATGTCCCCAGATTGAGTTGCGTGTATCTGACCTTTTCTGTCTCGTTTTCTCTTTGCCTTTCCGGTTTTCTGTGAGGTTTTCTCCACCTTAGCTTTTAATCCTTAAAAAAAAATTGGTACTTTTGCTTTTAATTTAAAAATTCAAAGTATAACATAAGCCAGGCGCCGGTGGCTCACACTTGTAACCCTAGATATTCAGGAGACTGAGATCTGAGGATCCCAGTTCAAAGCCACCTGGGGCAGGAAAGTCTGTGAAACTCTTTTATCTCTAGTTAACCAGCAAAAAAAGCTAGAAGTGGAGCTGCGACTCAAGTGGTAGAGCCTCACTCTTGAGCAGAAAAGCTAAGGGACAGCAGCAGACCCTGATTTCAAAATCAGGACTGGCATACATATGTCACACGCATGCACACACATATACACATATACAGTATACCTTAAATTCAGAAGTGTTGTTCTACCATGTTTCTAAGTTCTAAAAGCTGTTACTCATTTCCTAACTGTTCCATTTTAAAAATATGACTTTGTGTGTGTGTGTGTGTGTGTGTGTGTGTGTGTGTGTGTGTGTGTGTGTGTGTGTGTGTGTGTCGGTCCTGAGGCTTGAACTCAGAACCTGGGTGCTGTCCCTGAGTTGCTTTTTGCTCAAGACTAGTGCTCTTCCACTTGAACCACAAAGCCACTTCCAGCCTTTTGAAAGTAAGACTCTGACAGACTTTCCTGCCCTGGTGTTTTTTTTTTTTTTGTCGGTGTGGGGCTTGAACTCTGGGCCTGGGAGCTGTCCCTGAACTCTTCAGCTCAAAGCTAGTGCTCTACCACTTGAGCTACAGCACCACTTCTGGTTTTCCGGTGGTTTATTGGAGATCAGAGTCTCAGGGACTTTTCTTCCTGGGCTGGCTTTGAACCGTGATCCTCAGATCCCAGCCTCCCGAGCAGCTAGAATTACAGGTGTGAGCCACCGACACCTGGCTGGCATATTATGTTTAACTGAATACTTTCAAGGTCTTAGCTCTAAGTTCTGTTTTCTTGTTTTCTGAAATGTTTCTCTTTCTGGCTCCTGTAGACTTTGGTTAGAGATTTGCTGTTGTTCTTATAGATACAGGAGGGAGGCTGACTCTGTGTGTGTGTGTGTGTGTGTGTGTGTGTGTGAGTGTGTAAGGGCTGTTCACAGGGAAACTGGTGCTTATGACATTTAATGTTGCATTTTCTCCAGAGGAGTCTTCTCTCTCCCCTGGGTGGGTTCTAGGCCTGCTGAAGCTTCCTGGCCTTGAGCCGGGGAGAGGGCCAGGGCTCGCAGTGTTTGGTGCACACTCCTCTCCTCCCTCCTGTTCTGCAGCCTGGAATCCGCCCCCCCTCCCCCCACGTCACCAGCACAGCTCTCCCTCTGGGTGCCGACTGATGTCGTTCCTGTGCGTGGCCCTGCAGTGTTCCGACCTGGCTCACACATCGTGTATGGCAGACAGGGCTTCGTTCTTGCCCTCCCTGATGGCAGAATTATGGCTGTCTAAAACGCCTACTAATTTAATAGTATCTTGTTGGAGGACCAGATGAGTTCATTTATGGGCAGCTCTGGGTCCTGGCACCTTGTGAATGTGAAATCAGTGTTTGTCCTCATGGTTCCTGTTCATTAATCTTCTGTGGTCTTAACATTCTTCTCCAGGCAATTTACATACTAACCATGTTGACCCTTAGTCATAGTCCATCCCTGCCCTCCCACTGATGTGTTGTTTGACTTTGAGTTTTGTTATCTCATTACTATTATTATTAATTTTTTTTTTAGCAGAGAACAATGTATTGTCTTTTCTAATCAGGTTTCTGGACCTTTCCCTCTGTAGTTGTCCCGTGGCTTTAGAGTGTGGCCAACCTGCCCCCTCCCTGAGATCTGATAAATAGTCACCTATATTTGACCTTCATCTAGCAGTGATTAGCTCGAGCCAGTTTCAGTTCTTGTCAGTGGGCCAAGGCGGGCCGTGTGCCACCATGATGAATGTGTGCGGGTGCCAGCGATCGATCGGCGTATTAAGGAGCCGCTGCTGTCCCCAGTAGCCTTGTTTCCTGATGCTCCCCCACACCAAGGCTGGCTACTAATGATTTAAAATAACCTTCCCACGAGCCTGGTTCCACCAGGGCACGCTTACACACACTTTCCTAAACCTTTCCTCAAAAAAAAAAAAAAAAAAAAGATACATTGTTTTTGATCATAAAAGAAAAACACATACACCATGGAAAATAAAACCAGATAGAAAGAAGAAAAAAAAATTCCCTATTGTGTCTTTACCCAGAGGCAATGACTACAGACTTTGGCATATATTTCCATCCAATCTTGCACATAATTCCACATAGTTGAGCTCTGACTATATGTCTCATTTTCATCCCCTACCCCCAATACAGCAGCGGTTGCTTTTAATGCTGTCATTTATTACTGTGGTTTTCCGTGTGGTCTGCGATCCCTGGGGGCCCCCAGACCCTTTCAGAGGGTCAAAACTATTTTCATAATAACACCTAGAAGTTATTTGCCATTTTCTCTCTCATTCTCTCCTGAGTGTAGCTGGAGTTTCCCAGAGGCTATGGGACGTGTTCTGTTGCAGTAGATTAAATACAGAAGCAGCTGTGAGAACCCAGCTGTCTTGTATTAAGCCAGCCAGTAAGGAGATCTGTGAAAATATAAACAATTCCTTCTCACTAATTTCCTTTCTGTCTTGGAAAATCCAGTCATTATTTTTTATAGGAAATATGTTATCTATGTTAACATGCGGTGGGTTTATTATTAGGAGTTTTGCATAAGTTAATACATGTTTTTCGGCGTCCTCAGTGTTTATTTCTGATGTGCTAAGTGTCGGTGGCTGGAGTGCTCCTTGCCGGCGGCTCTTTGGGGTCTTCAGTCATTTTAGAATGTGGAGAAGGGTCCACAAAACATGGCAACCAGAGCGGTCTGCCTCTGCAGCCCCATGGTGGGGGATGAAAGTGAGAGATGGATAGATACCAGATCATATCCCAGCCTGGGACCGGTGAGTCACTCTGCCCCCGCTGTGTCCTGCCTTCTGTAAAGCCAGCGACAGAGCTAGGGGCTGGTGACTCAGAGCCATGATCTGAGGGTCGCAGTTCAAAGCCAGCCCTGGCGGAAAAGTCTGTGAGACTCTTATCTCCAGTTAACCATTAAAAAGCTGGACGTGGGGGCTGGGAAGGTGGCTCAGTGGTAGAGTGCTTGCCTTGCATGCCTGAGGCCCTGGGTTCGATTCCTCAGCACCACATAAGCAGAAAGAGCAGGAAGTGGTGCTGTGGCTCAAGTGGTAGAGCGCTAGCCTTGAGCTGAAGAGCTGAGGGACAGCGCCCAGGCCCAGAGTTCAGGCCCCACGACTGGCAAAAAAAAAAAAAAAGCTGGACGTGGAGCTGTCACTTAAGTGGAAGAATGCTAACTTAGAGCCAAAAAAGCCCCAGGACCAGCAGAAAAGAAAAAAAGTGACAAAAATGTGATCCTGGGGTGTTTGAGCCCCCCCCCTGGCCTCATTGCTCTTTTCTCCGGACCCCGTCCTCTTCCTTTTTCATGAAGATGATTTGATAGCATTTCAAGATGATGGGAGAAAATCTCCCAGCTCTGATAGAGCTTGTGATTATCCTTGTTCCCCCTCCTCTTGATTCCTGGTCCACATGGGCTGTGGGTTTTTTTTTTTTTCCCAGAGTGCACCCGTGCTTCTGCAGCCTGCGTCTCCCACTTAACATTCTCCCCCAGCTGCCCGCCGCAGCAGCACCACCGGCCGCCTCTGTCTTTGGAGGACCGTCAATTTTCTCCGCTTCCACGGCGCTCTATTGAGTTGATTAACTGTAATTTACTTAGCCCCCCCCTTGGACACTTGGGTGGGTTCTAATTTTTGCTATTATAGATAATGCTGAAGTGGTTATCTTCATGCATGAGCCCCTTTTCTGTCGGATTATTTCTTTCAGATTGATTCCCAGAAGTGGGAATGCTGGGTCAAAGGGTTGTACATTTTCATGGGTCCCGATACGTCTCCTGTCAGGTTGCTTTCCAAAAGGATTATACCAATTTGCACTGCTTCTGCAAAGCCTTCGTAATAACCAACTATGTTGCTTAACTATCATACCTAGAAACTTCCCTTGGAGTCCCGAGGGGGCAAAAGCCTTATCTAAGTGAGTGTGATCTATAATTATTTAGACTAACACCAAAATTGCTTTCCGAACATTTTTTTAAAGCTGCTGGATTTCAAATTCCAACTCACATACACGCTAGTATTAAAAGTTTCCCAAGCAGTCATTTCTCTCTCCCTCCTCACAGTGTGTTTACCCAGCCCAACAACTGCGGGGGACCAGGGAGCGTGCACACATCCAAACGGTCTGTTTCTGAACTAGTTGAAGTGTTATTTTGAAAGGCACAAAACACCAATTAAAACACATTTTCCTCGTGCCCTTTGGTTCGCACACGCGCTTGTTTTCCTCCTGGGCTACTTTCAGGTTCTTTCGCTCCCATTTTTCAAGTGTGTTCCGAAACGTGCTGGCACTGTGGAGCAGGGCCCTGCTGTCGCTCTCTGGGGCGTGTGTGGTGGCTGCGTCAGGTGCTGGTGGGGCTGCCAGGCTCTGGGGACTAGGGGCAGGAACCCCTGTGGAAGGCGCAGTGAGGAAGAACTTTCTGGCCCCCTGACCCATCGCCGTGGGGAACGGCGGAGGGGGTGTAGGTTCTGGCCTGGTGAGGAAGAGTGCAGGTGGTTAGCCGGCGGGCAGGGCATCCAGGTGGCTCCAGGGCCCCTGAGGACATGGCATGCGCCCCGAGTATTGGCCGGTGTGGCTGGTTGGCTGCAAGCTGCTCTGAGCGAGCCCCTCTGGGTCCTGACATGGACCACAGGCCTGGCACAAGGCTGCGTGTTACATATTCAAACGTGTGCAAGGCTGCCTCTGCTAAATTTTGCGCGGTGTCTTTCAGCATTCTCATCTGTGTACGGATTGCCTCACGGGGCTGGCAGGATCAGCCAGGGTTAGGCGTGTGAAACCACTGTGTAAACGCTAAAGCCCTCGCAAATGGAAGGCATTAGCCACCACTCTGTGCTTGGGTTTGCTCTGTAATTGCCTCCTGATCTGTGCTCCTGAGCGCGCCAGGCTCTGCATCCGATTGGCCTTCGTGGCTGGGGACAGCTGGGATCGCCCTGTGCATACCCCCACACCCGCGACCCCACACTGGCTTCTCAGGGGACTTGGGCCCTCTAGGTGCAGCTGCCCCGTTCTGTTTTCCGACCTGGCAGCATGAAGGTGGGAGCAGTAGTTGAGGTGTTGGACTATGAGTCCTGAAAGTGTTACCAGCTAGGCTTCTGGACATGCTGCCACATGATCCATAGGTTCTTTGGGCCTTGCTTTAGGCCAGCTGACTGTAGTGTGGGCAGAGAAGGGCCCCTGAGAGCAGCCAGGGAGATGGCTCTCGACCACAGTGCCCGAATGTCTGGTTTATATGCTTCCACCTCCATTTACCCACCATCTCCTCCCCTCCCCCTCCCCCTACCTCACGCCGCCCCCCCCCCCCCCCATAGCTGACTCTTAGGATAAAAGTACCAGGTATGCGATCGGCCTCCTTGATGTCAGATGGCTACAGTAGCATCCTTATGCCCACTTCATAGATGAGAAAACTGAGGACCAGAGTAGGACACATCGGTCCAAAGCAGAGAGCAGGCATTTGAGGTCAGTCCTTCCTGTCGCTACATTTTGAGATTGTTCTAGATACCTCCCTGGTTGAAGTGCCAAAGGGTAGTCACATGACTAGCAAGGCCTATTATCCTCGCCCCCACCTTTTTTTGTGGTGGGGCCTGGGCTCTGTCTCAGCGTTTTCACTCAAGGCTGGCATTTGGAGCCACAGCCCAAACTTCTATCTTTTTGCTGGTTAATTGGAGGGAAGAATCTCATGGATTTTTCCATTGGTGCTTGACATCCTTTAACTGTTTGAGTCTTATGGTCCTATCTCAATGAGGTAAGTTTCTATATAATTTTCATGATGGCAGGAACTTCTTCTTTCTCCCTGTAGTCCCAGTCACTGGAAGAGAACTGGGAACTTAGTAGGTGCTTAAAAGACATCTGTGAATAAATAATCCCTGCTTGGTCTGCCTGACTCTCCTGGCCCCATTGAACCTCAGGATTATGGAAGACCTTTGGGGCTCTCAGTCACACGCTGTGGCCTAGCCCTCACCTCTGATGCGTGAGACAGGCATCCCTCTGGGGAGGGGTTTGTTAAATGTGTCCAAGGCTGGGGCCTTGGAAACTGCTGGGAGCTAAAGCAGAGCAATGATTGTATGCCAGGTCTGCTGAAATGTTTGTGTTTACGCTCCCAGGTAATAGTCTAGGGCTGGTGCTTTAGCTTATGTGTTCATATGTTACTTATTTATAAATCATAAATCCAGAAAGGATTTGAGGAAGCCTACAATAAAAGATACGAACGTAGTAAAGCTGTTAAAAGAAAACAGGCCATTAAAGCCACCCAAAAGGAAAAGGGTGTAAATCAAGGGCAGGACCAATGCTGCTGCCTGGCTGGCACTGAGCTGCCTGCCCGGCGTTGAGCTGCCTGCCCAGTTCCTGCTGCACAGAGCACCCAGGTGCTCTCACGGGGACAGAGGTCCAGGGGAGAGGCCACAGCACCTGTGGGTCATGGTAGGCTGCCCTGGATGAGATGGGGGCAGCCATCTCTGTGGGAAGCTGCTGAAGGCCTTACTGCCTGGGTTGATCTTTTTGTGCCTCAGTTGATTTCCTGACAAATGGCAATCATAATACTTAGCTGAAAGAACTGTCAGAGGAAAAAGGGAGTGTTTGGCCAGCGAGCTGGCCCTTCAAAGTGCTTCTCTTGTTCATCTGCCCTGTCATTGTTGTACAGGAGGCTCATGGCTCAAGTCCTTCGCTGAGGGCCCCGACTTCAAGAGGGCATAGAGGGAGTGGAGGCCAGCATGCCCTGGGCTCTGCCCACACTGGCATTGTCCAGCGTGGCCTGTTCACTATTGCTTAAGGAAACTTACAGAACCGCAAGCAAAGGGAACATACTTTTTAATTATTTTCCTGCTTGTCCCTTGCAATGCCGTTGTCAAGGAAACCAAAACCTCTGAAAAGCTTTTCGGCTTCTCGGTCGGAAGAGGATGTTTGTGCTGCACATACATTGTGGGACTGGACCTGTTGTTTGGTGGCAAAGTCAGTTTCTTCTAGAGGGGCTCATTTCCGTCGTTCGCCACAAATAGAATCTTTGTGACCTTTCCATAGAAGATGGAAAGTTGTTACCAGTATTTTCTCTTTAGAGAGAATTGTCCCCATACTTGACTCATACTATTTCATTCATCCAGCGCCTATGACAAGGCTTGGGGGCTGGGACAGAGTGGGACACGGAGATGAATGCAGGCACCGGCGTCACAGCCCTGCCTTACTTGAGAGGAGGAGGCAGCAGGGGGCAGAGCCGACCGTGTAGCATCAGCATCGTGACTGCGCTGCAGAGGGAAGACAGGGAGGGGTCAGGACCTCACAGAGGCTGGGGGGTTATACCCAGGACCCTGAAGGGCATTCTCAACAGAGGGCATAGTCTGTGCAAAGGTCCTGAGGCACTGCCATCAGCAAACTGCCAGTCAGTCAGACCAGGCCCAGGGACTGAACATAAAACCAGAAGAGAGTCTGGAGAGACCTATGAGGCTGGAGTCAGCTCAGGAGTAGGGAGGGTGAAGAGATTGGCATGCACCTTCAAAGCATGGCCCATTTCCTGGGTCAGAGCCCTCACTCTTGGAATCATGCGTGGAAGCACGCTCCTCCTGTGTGTTCTAGCTTCAGAGCGAAGGGACGCTGCCAGCCTGTGTTAGCTTTAATAATTCACTTTGGCCGCAGGAGCATGGTTTGTGCTGTAATGTTTCGGCCATCGTTCCAGTAAAACTTGACGATAGTTATAAGCCCCGTCAAGGGCACTGGTTTTATATGAAAAAGATAAATCATTGTTAGGAAAACAGGAGCCTCAGTCTCAAACAGCCCTTGTTATTTTTCTTGTAAAACTTTGAAAAATAATTTCAGATTTAGAGGAGAGTGGTAAAAGTAATCCATAGTTCCCACATGCCCTCACCCAGTGTTCCAGCTGCTGGCACCTTACGTAACCCCGGTACATCGGTCAAACGAAGAAATAACTCTGTTAGCTGCACTGTGGACTTTATTGGATTTCACGTTTTTTCCAGTTTGGGGACCGTGTTGCAGTTAGAGGGCTCTTGTTACTTAACAGATGATTTGTTTGGGGGTTTCAGGGAAGAACAGCTATAGAGTTTGTCCCCAGTCACTTAGAGTTTCCCAAGCTGTGATACGCACATATGTGTGTGTGTGTGTGTGTGTGTGTGTGTGTGTGTATACACACACATACATGCGTGTGTGTGTGCGCACACATGCACGCAGACACACACATGCACACACATGCACACTGGCTCCCAGCTGACATTCCCTATCTGGGGGCCAGAGTCATGATGCTATAACCAGGCTCAGCCTGGATGTCTTTCAGATTTCAAGGCCTGCTTCCTTGTTAGAGCAGTGGGTCTGCTTGCTAATGAGGCTGACAGAGCTCACGTACAAAGTGCCAATAATGCCTCATCCTTATGGCAGCTGTTTACTCCTTATCAGGTTCTCATTCCTTCCCCCTACTTCTTTTTCTCCCTCCCCGCCCCCTTTCTGGTTTTAACCCAGCCAGCCTTTAGGACTAGGGTTGACATTAGTGAGGGTTTGGATTTAGGCCACTCACCACGTTGACATTTTCCCACCGCTTCCCCGTGGTTTACCGGGTAATTGAGTGTGTCTCGAGGCAGCAACTGAGAGATGAAATGCATTGCCTCTAATGAGTGAGGCTGGAGCAGTCTTTGCATACAGATTGCTGCATTTCTGTAGGCGGTTCCCCTGCGCCCCCAAGTTCTGCACATGTCCGTTCTTCCCATTGACTTCCTTGGCTCACATTCCTCCCTCTTCCCCCTGCATCCTCCTCTCGTGTCTTTTTATTTACTTTTTCCTCCTTCCTTCTTGTCCATGCTTGCCTGCCTCCCTGCCTTTCCTCCGGTGCTCCTCCCCCTCCCTCTCTAGTTCCCTTCTTCCATTCCTTTCCCAGCAACAGGCCGGTGAAGTTGTTGCCATGGGAACAGAAGCCTCGCAGAAGCCTTGCTCTGCCTCCTGATGCTTCTAAGGATGACGCAGATCATGTTGACTTCTAGAACCAGCTGAGCCCTGGCCGGTGGCCTCAAGAGTCCCTTCATCTTCCGAAGGCCAAATTGATGGCACAGCTCATCGATCTGTTCAGTGGGTAGTCATTTTTCATTTGGAAACTCAAAATTTGAGAAATTCTCTTCCCTGTCACTCCAAAAGACTGGTTGCAATAGGTGTAGAAGAGATCTACCTGAACTTCCATCAGCGGAGGGTGGAATGCCAGGCAGAGCAAGAGGCTTCAGGCTGCACTGCACCTACTTACACCTCAGGGCCCAAGGAGGGGGCGGTTCACACCTTAGCTGAATGACGAGGATGAATGAAGGATGCTATTACAAGGATGGGGAGCCTCGTATTCTACTGAGGGCCATTTGGATATTTATAACATCAATATGGCCATGCAAAATGATCAGTTCAGGCAGATGGGCTGTAGGCAGCTGATGAGAATCATTCCGTGTCTGTCTTGTCATAGACCAAATGATATTTTGGGGGGGCCTTCTATGGCCTAGGCCGCTGGCTCCCACCTTTGAGGATGGAGAAATCTAGTGAGGCCTCAGGCAACCTCAGTTTAGTTAGTTTCACACAGTGCATGTTCAAGGAAGGCTGGCCAGTTCTAAGACTGGCACTGTGGGCACAAAGCCCATCTCTCCCCTCTAGAACTCTTGTCCTTGAGTAGTAGGACTGGTTTGCATGTACACACAACCACAGTGACATTCCATGGTTATCTGTTATATTTATCCACTGAGGCCAGCTGTTCTCCATTCAGCCTGCACATTAAGTAGGCTCTGTGGTCCCCCCGAGGACCAGTTGGCTCCTGGTGCCCAGCAGAGCGGCTCTGCAGTTGTGGCAGTCTGGGTTTGACTCAGGCCCAGCTTGTTGGCATTTGCGAGGCTTTGGAGTCCTGCCATTCAGCCAACACCAGCTAATAGCCCAGCAGGGAAGAGTTAGGCCTTATTCCCAAAGGTAACTTTGTTTAATAAAAACCGTAAGCCTCTATTACTGTACTTATGGGTATCCTGGCTCTAGGGTATACAAATAAGACTTAAAAATGCAAACATTGATTTGTTGAATGCTAACTCCTTTGTGCAACTACTTAAAGATAATAAAAGTATAATTAAAAAATTCAAACATTGTTTATGGAAATGCAGAAACACTTGCATTAATAGACAGTGTGATAGAAAGCACAAGGCACTTGCCGTCTGTGCCTGAATGGTCTTTCTGCACTCGGGTCTTCTTATTTTCATAATCGCTTGGAGTTTATTTAAATATCTCCCTTTCAGTAGTGAATTTTCAGGGGCTTTGGTGTGTGACTAACTTCACAACTACCCACACCGTTTCCCGCCAGTTGCCGTGACTTAAGTTGATAATGGACCACACACAGCAGTCACTAATGGTGATAATCTGGGAGTGTTTTGTTATTGTTTTTATTTTAGAAGAAAGGTTGGAAATTAGCATAGTAAATCTCTGTGGGATCTTTGCAAATAAAAGAATATTCATGTTCAAAAACAACTTTCAGGAAAGATGTATGGTAATGAATAAAACATCAGTGAGTGAAAATAAGCGTGTTTAATTATTCAAGTAGAAGTAGTAATTTAAACTAATTATTGCTTGTGGATTTCATAATTCAGTTTTTGTCTTGCAGTAATATTTCCTCTGGGCCTCTGGGGTGTGTCGGCGGCTGCTACCCCGGCATGGCCTCCCCCTCAGCCACAGTGAGCCAGCACGGGTCTGCTTGAATGTGGCATCTGCTTGGCTCCTGTGCCCTCCGTACACACCAGTCTCGTAGCACACCACCTCATTATGCATCTTCTTGTCTGCCCCACTCAGGCTCAGACCAGTCCTGTCCATGTGGTTCCAAGCGTGGTGGGGGTTGACGCCCTCTCTCTCCACAGTATCTCAGGCTTCTCTGGAATCAGTGATCTTCAGGGCATTCCCCACCATCTCACAGCCAGGCCCTTGCCCTTCAGGGCTGCTTCAAGAAGGGTCTCTG